GACACTTAAAAACAGCACATTCATGCGTTGTCACTAATTTGTTTATTGTCATTCCGGTATGTGCATGTACAAGCTGAGGTCTGTTTTTAGTGATCTCTAAATATTTTCAGAGAGAGAAAGTTTGAATTATACAGATTTTAATAAGAGTGTGGTTCTTTTATCATGTTCTTTACATTTGTCTATGTTAATCAGAATCTAAGTCCTGCACTGATGGATATTAGGAAAATGTGCTGCCAACTTATTGAAACAGGCTTCTGTCACATGAAGAAAAAGTATGCATACACACTGCAGGAATTCCAGGACAGTAAGATCAAACAACTACAAGAGGTGCAGTTGTATAAGAACTTTTCATATATATATGTGTATGTATATACTGATATTGTCTGTTTCATTACATTGGTTATAAGGTTATTATTACATTATTGCTTTCTTTCTTATTATCAGGCATACAGCGACCTGAAGGGGTTTCATGAACTAGTGAAGGAGGAGACAGTTTATACCTGTGGCCGCTACTTGATGGATGCTAAAGCTCGTGTTGGTGCGTACATGATGTGGATACTATTTAAGACACATGCTAATAAATAAAATGTTAGGGGCTTTTGTATGTCTTTTGCTTTCCTTAAATGTAGGGTGTGCTGAAGAGATGTGTAAAACGAAACGAGCCCAGTGACCTACATTTAAAAGCTCGCGAAGAGATGATTTTTCCAGGTTGGTACACAGAGCCACAGCCATCTAAAAGTCTGGAGCAACGGCGCCATGAAGTTATTCTCCTAACTTCACAGCCATCCTCTAAAGATGCCACTGACCAACAGGTATTAGACAAGAATATGTATGAAAAAAGCCTACTATTAAAATTGCAAGAGCCAACGATCTGCAATCTTCAGCTCCCCATTCTGCCGCTTTTATACATATTTAGCTGCTAGAGTAGTTTTGTAATGCAGTGCTATTAAGCTGGTTCAACAAAATATTTTATGTGATTATAGGTACTGCTGTCAGTTTTTGTTTTCCCTTTTATACTATTTTTTTATTACATGTTGGTTGTAGTTCAT